ACCAGAGGCGATTGAAAACAAAGGTTTAGACGGCTGAATTTTGGATAAAGCCATTTTAAAGCAAAAATTCTTAATAACAACAATCAATGATTTATATGCTAAAACTTGACTGCCGCTGTTTGCATAAAGCTAAATGCAATGAAAAAGCAAATTCGCCGCAAAAACATAAGAGATTTTATACTATTTTTGTTATCTATTTACTTTTTTTGTTTTGTTTGTTTTCGGTTCGGTTTTTTTTTTTTTTTCTCTTTTTGTCAAGATAAATATCTTGAATACTTATTTATTTATAGAAACGAAAAAATCTCGCAAACCTTATACAGTCAGATAAATATAGAAAGGAAAAGCACTGCAATTGTGAACAGCTGCTACTGTTGCTATTACTGGTACTACTAGTTAAAAATTGCACGTTTTTCTTTTTCTATTTTTGATATATACATATATATATAGATATATATGCGGTACGGTGTAACTAAAATAATACAATTGTATAAATTGACCATTTTTAAATATTGATGGAAAGTCTGATTGAATGAATGAGTGAATGAATATATTACGAAGAAATTTTCTTACATTTTATCAAATTTCTTTTCTCACATAATAAACATTTGAAAGTTACGACTTCTTGTTAAGTATCCGGTAAATATGCTTTTTTTGAAGTATTTACAGCATGTCCCCAAAATGCACGCAAGAAATAATTCGCATAGAAGACCCAGGTTTTTACAATTAAAAATTATCGATCCATAAAGTATATAGAGGTATATGCTATCTACAATGATATTCAGCGATCTCCTGGCACTCTCCTCGATGCTTCGAACAGCATCCATAAACCATGCAACAAACTCAACTCGATGCAAACTTCGCGTGAGAGAGAGCCCAGCAGACACTCTTGCGAACTGCTTCGATATTTTATCCTGCAGGATGTGTATAAGGATGACTTTCTTTAATTAATTCACGATTGATGAACGTAAATCACTGCCTCAAGCTGTCTTGTGTAAATTTTGGCACTCCCTGGACGTTTGCGAAGAACTTCATTACACATCTGATTCAAATCAAAGAAGAGTTTTTTTTTTCTCGCTTTCGATTGATGGCACAACAATGCGGAAACTTGGAAACGTATGTACGCACTTCCGAACTCAAGTTTGCTTGAAAGGGCAAAAGGCATTTCAAAGGTTAGCTGAAAGACTCTTCAAAAAAGACTTGAAATTATGCAAGTCTGACGTTTGTTAAGAAACGAATGAGCAGAGAGCGAACAGTGATTAAGTAGACTCCACTATTTTAATTAAGTGTTCTAGCGAAAGCAGTAGTTGTGCCATTTGTTTAAAAACAGCTTTCTAGTTAAGAAAAAATTAATTTCCTTTGTTTTAAAAATGTTTTTTGGGGTTTATTGCTGTGCAATAAAATTTAATATAAATATTTGTTATACTTCTTTACATCTCGTGTTTAAACAAAGAAATTCATTAAGTTAAATTAAAAATATATACATAAAAATATATATATATATATATATATATATATATTTGACTATCGTACTTATAAAATTTGTCGTTTTAACAACGGAACAAGAAAAAAAAAAAAGAAAGAAATAAAATATAATAAAATAAAAAGATAAAATAAAAATAAAAAGCCAAACAAGTAAATGAACAAAAGATCGAACAATGAATTTTAATTTGAAATTTTCTCTTAATTTTTTTATCGTTTATAAAAAAAAAAAAAAAATTAAAAATAAAAATAAAATATTCAAAGCCTTGCTTCAAAGAAACGAAGGTTTTAAGAGAACGGCTATATTCGGTTTGATTTGAATCTTTTAATGCCTACCACCTGACTAATGTGTGATACCTGATCGCGAAGTGAAGCAAAGATCCAATCATTCAATATTTTGATCATATATCATATATATATATATTTAAAATCACACAGAAACTGAAACCTGTATATATTTTACATATTAAGACACACAAAATATGAATGTATTGGTCGAGTAATGAGCGAAAAACAATTTTTTTTTTCTTTGCAAGACATAGGTGTTCTCAGTTTATATTGTCCTGAAGACGCTTCCTTCGACCATTTTAGCATTTTTTTAAATATCAACCTGCGTGCAGGTTTTAGTAGAGACATTAGCGAGGCATACATACAGACAGACAGACAGACAGACGGACATGCTAAAATCGATTCAGATTTTGATAGTGACTAAGAGTGTACGTACTTTAAAGAGTGTTTGAAGCGTCCGTCTGGGTGTTGTGCACCGCTTTTACAAAGTGCCAGATGGAAGTAGCTTCGTTGAAACGACGAGAGTGAGTGCTTGTGCTAGGAAATTGAAAGTTTCGAGCCAAGTTTCTGATGATAATTACGAATTCACCTATTGATCTTTGGCAGACGCGGCGAAAGTACCATATTCCACAAAAAAATCATCAGGGCAAGAGAACGGTGTAGACTGTTTAAAATAGATAAGACATTTTCAAGGTCCTAAGAAAATAATATATTTGGTCGTGATTGAATCTTTATTTATATCCATCACCGTGATTCTAAAAAAGGAATTAATTTTCATTCATTCATTCATTTTTAGAATAAAAAATGGATCTAACCGCCTGAGTAGCCGAAGGCGAGGAATCTCGACTAGCAAGTCAATGGTCGTGGGTTCGAATCTCAACTGCGGTAGAGTTTTTAATAAAAGCCGATAGCCTTAGATGCTAGTGCTTTTAAGAGTTTAGTCTTAGAATTTATTTCTCTGGCGAAATTAATAATAATAATAATAATAATAATAATAATAATAGAATAAAAGGCGAAATTTATATAGGGCATGTCTTGGACTTTATGAATAGCAAGCCAAGACACGAGAAAAAATGTGTAAACAGTTTTTGTTACATACACGTGTTTGGACGTTGTAGGCGTGGTCTTTGAAAATATTGGGACATTTTCAAATCCTTTTGCAAGTTTGTTTGCGAATATCTTCATTTTTGCGAACGGAACGTTATTTACCACACATACCATGCAGTTGCGCAGACAGACAAATTGACAGATGGATGGACGGACATGCTTGAGTGAAACTGGCCGGGTTTAAAGCCGACGATTTTTCAAAACCGTACAGAGCATGTCTCTAGTAATCTTCGTTCTTCTCATTCAAATCTTTTATGATACTTTTAAAATATATATGAAACTAATTATAAAGAGAAAAGTGTCGGATGTTTCTGATAAGTTAATTTAAACGCTAGTTATCTATTTTTTGGTCGCAAATTGAGCTTATTGATTCAAATACTCGCCCCATAAACATATCCAAAAATCAGTGTTTGTGTAGAGCGTCTTAGATTAAAGTGCGGTGATGCCATTTTTTCATATCCCTCGAAAGCAATTTTCTTTTTTTCTCACTACTTAAATTATAGTTTTTTCAATACTTAGATTATTATTATTTTGTTATTCTTCCTTCTATTGAAATAGAAGAAAAAAACTTCTCTCCTAAGGCAAAAATTTGGCGTCACACAATGGTGATGACTACAAATAAATAGACGGGCAGACGTAACTAAATCGATAATGCCATTCAGCCTCGTTTACAATATATATAATATACTTCGCTAGTTACTGTTATGCGTTACAAACATTGGGCAACTTTAATATGCCGCCTGCGTGATGAAAAGCAGGTACAAAGTTGATAAACATGTCGATGTCTGTGATTGTAGCTGTAGCATATATAAAGTAATAATTAAAGATTCGGAGGTGTTCAAAACCATTGACAATCACCCAATCTTATAAATATTGAAAACCAGCAGGCGATCAAAATACATTACATGTAAACGGACAGTTTAAACACCTTAAATGGACAGAAAACAGGAATAATGTGTCAAACATAATAGTAAGACCGCGGCGGCGCCAGCTGAATGCAAACTGCTTGGGCTTTTCAAAATATTTAATTATTTCATAAAAGTTTTTTATATGCCCATAAGCCGGAAAAAGTCATGAAATAATCAAATAATCATCAGCGAAGCCAAAGTAAAGCAGATATTCCTCAATCAATGTAAGAGACCTTTTAGCTTAGTTTCTGTCAAAGAATTGGGTAGCGAAACGTAAAGCTTGCCAGGTATTTATGACATCATTTCAATTAAGATGAAATATGTTCAGATTTGTTTTGTTTTTACATATATTACAGCACTTGTGGTACAAGCGCGAATTAAGTTTGTGCAACGGTACACAAAACCCCCACAAAAATAAATTCACTCTCTATTGTACTTTCTGTCCATCTGCCTATCTGTCTCTCTCTACTTATCTTATACTCTTGTGTTCAACCTACAGATCAGAATTTTCCAGATATTTGGCTGGGATTCGGTTGACGAACGTACTTTGGTCCAAAATAGATCGCTATTGAAAATGATTCGGATCGAATCACCTTTTGGACCTTATACGATGAATGACTGTATTAAAGGAAGTGCGAGTGCAAGTTCGTGTGTGCAATGGTCGGCCATGGACGACTATAGTGTGTTTTCGCTTGTTTTATTTGAACTTTTCAAACTTATCGAAAAGAATACAATTTAATCGTCATGGAATAGACAAATTGAATGCTCACTGAAAAGATTCGAATCATTTCAACTAGTCGTCCAACTCGCAAGACTCAAAAATTGCGAAGGATCAAGAAAATAATGGAACTATACGCGTAGGCGTTAGCGTTAGCGTTAAATGCTTATGATCGGGGACGACCCCCCAATACTGCCAAACTGCTAAGAAAACACAACTCCTTTGATTTTGATTTAATTACTACGGAGGAGATAGTGCCCAGAATTCAAAGTTATCAAGTTTTCGTACTTTTGAACACATTGAATAAAATGTTTATCATAGGCTAGTGTACGAATACGTTCAATAATACGAACACAAAAGAACAAGAGCATCAAACTAAAGTGAAATTATTAAATGTTAATGGCCGAGAGCCCAAGTTAAGAAATAAATAAAAAAAATTAAAAAATTGCATAACAACATATTAACAATATCAGGGAGAAGCCCAATTCACTCTTACTTACCAATAGACCAGTTTCTACATTGGGTATTAAAATAACTTTCGAACCCTCCGTTAAGTTGTTTTCGCGCAACGACCCATCCTGAAGTTCTCTGCAAACGAGAAATAAAGCAAAGAATGAAAGCAAGAAAAAAAGAAGAAAATAAGTATAAAATTAATTGAAAATTTAAAACCGTTACCTAGGACATGCATTTGTTGTGCTCTTTCGTATGCACCATTAATACTGGAACCAAAACAAACTACATTTTTGTATTCAAAATTTAATTAGTCTCACACCGCTGTGACCACCGTGCGTCCATTTTACACACTTACTTAATTTTCAATCGGACAATGAGCGGTGTTATGTTTAAAGAGCTAATTATGTTAAAATTAAAAAACGAACGAAAACGATGAAAGAAAGCACTAAAGTGTCTCATAAAATATGCGTATCTGGCGTATAATACGTTTTGAATACAACTTTTTGTACAATTGAGAATGCCTTGCAAGCGAAGAAAACATAAACACGATTTTTGAAAAATATAAAAATAAAATCTCAAGTTTCTCACTTGAATACTAAAAATGACTTTACGATAATTGCATTTTTAGGATTAAAAGTAAATGAGAAAAAAAAAAAAAAATCTGAGATGATGTACAGTTGGCACAAAGAAAGGCCACCAAACATTAGTAAGAGATTTTCGTTTTTGTTGATTTTTGAAAGAACATCTCACATATCCGATCAATATCGGTCGCATGCATTAATTCCTTTAGGGGGAAAACAGTTTTTTTTCTCTTTTTTTTTTTTTTTTTTTTTTTTTTTTTTGGTGTTTCCTCAATTTGCGTCAATTTGGCAATTTTCACGTTTGACCTGACGACGATTTTTGCTTTCTTAAGAGAAAATCTTTAAACCTTGCCTTCACAACAGTCTGACAGTCAGACAGAAGGGAAGACAGTCAGACGGACTTGACTTAAACGATTTGGTTACTTAAGCTGCGATGCAGGTAAATAAGTCGTTATTAATTTTTCTAAATCCGCTTGAATGGCCGACTAAGTAAAAATCTCGACTAGCAACTCAGTTTTTAATAAAGCCGAACCACATTTTGTCGATCAGTATTCGCCAAAATGTGATTTCTTTTCGCTTATGAAATTGAAAATGTCCCATCATCTCTTCCAGTTTTCCTATCCAAGTTGGATAGGAATGTTAATGAAATTCGAACGAGGGGGTAATCAAAATCAACCCCAAAACGAAAGTAACCTCTCTTTTTTGTCCATATATGTACGTACACCTTGTTTAATTTCTACTTTTTTTTTTTAAATTAGTCAAGTCAATGACACCTTTTTCGTTTTATTTGCATTTATTATCATTTATTTTTAATTTTCTTTTTTTTTGTTTTTTTTTGTTTTTGTTTTTAGCTGACAACAACCTCATCAGCAATCAGTCGAAGTTTCCTCAGACCCTTAGCAAATATTAATTTTATGCTGATAACAAAGCCATTTCTTTGCTTAAGCAAACAGACAATGCAAACCTTTTCTTAAACCTTTAACAGTAAATGCTAAAGATACAAAATATTAAAATAAACAATTTTACCAATATAACAAAAAAAAAAAAAATTAAAAAATTCGAATTGAGGTCTTGCTTTAAATTTTGGGTATATTTAAATTTTTGTTGTTGCTTATTGCGTTTTTTTTTTCTTTTTTTTTTTCTTCCAATTCAAAAATGTTGATGTTGTGTGTGTTATGTTGTCTAAACGAATTAACACCTGCAATATTGCCAACAACAATGTCAATGAGAGAGATATGACACGTGTGTCTTCAGAGAAATATATAAAATTTTAAGGACGGAAAGACGGAAAACACAAGGTAATTACATTAATCAACACTTCAGAGACACAAACGAGTACGCCTATATATGAATATATATATATATATATATATACGTATATACTATAAGCATAATTTTCTCGAGTTGTTTACATCACGCAATTCATTAATTGAGGCAAATCCTCAGACTTATGGAGAACATTGAAGCTCACATAAACGTCAAGACTGGAAACAATTATTGCAACAGAGATCATACAATAATGCACCATACCACGCGTATGCTATGAAAATGTTGTAGGGTGTAACCCTACATCAATTGCGGTACAAGGATACATTAAATTTGTGCGAATGTATGCAACATCTAGAGCGATGTGAGATAGATCCATTTTTTATTATTATTATTATTATTATTATTATTATAAATTTAGCTAAAGGATAAATTCTAAGACTAAAGTCTTAAAGCACTAGCTTCTAAGGCTTTCGGCTTTATTAAAAACTCTACCGAACTTGAGATTTGAACCCACGACCATTGAGTTGATAGTCGAGACTCTTGCCTACTCGGCCACTCAGGCGGATAGATCCATTTTTTATTGCACCGATTGATTCTGGATCACTTTTTGCATCGATCAAAATGTGTCTACACCGCCCCATTTCTGTCGGTCTTGTTCTCTTGTGTGACACGATTTTTAAGATATTTTGATGAAATTTGATATGCAAATATGTTTCGCCTTATTTTAATAAGTCATTATATGAATAGCTGCAAGATGTGTAGGGTATTCAATAACCTATTACGATGGGCCGTTATTATGGGCCATATTATTTTTTTACTTAATTTTCCTTTAAAGCCTTGCTGCCCAGAATAGAACTTGGTCAACGCATTTAACTTGCCCTTCTTTCATACACTGTTAACGAATTTTTCTTCTTCACGCCTTTAATTGACTAAGAAAGCATTCCTCGGTAAATTTGGTTTCGGAAATACGAAAAGGTTAAGAAAAGAGCTTTCAATAAGTCACTCCAGATACATGAATTGTCCTGAATTTCTTTTTTTGTTTTTATATTCAATTGGTTTTTTTTATTTATCCTTGCGAAATAATCCAGTCCACTTAAAATATTAATGTCACGGCTCTAAAGCCATGTTCGGAAAATCGATTTTTCGTTTCGTTCGTAAACTTTCGTTACCCCCCATGTTCATCTTTCTGCATCATTTTTGGATATTTCCCAAAGGGTTTAGGTGTATAAAAAGACACGAAAACAAAAATCATCCTCACAAGATGATATCACGAGTTAAGTAAGTGATGTCATGAACGTGAATTTGTTGCTTTTTTCCTTTTCCCCTTTCCTTTCTCTTTCCTTTCTCTTTCCTTTTTCGGTCCTTTTTTTTTTTTTTTTTTTTGCTGTGACCTATCATTCGGAGATGTCGCTTATGTAGCGAGCGATAGAAAGAAGAAGTAGTGAAAAAGAAAGAGTTGAGGAAGACGTGAACTCAAGAACGCCGACTTGGTGGTCGCAACTCCGCTATACGATGATTGATAATATTTCAATAATGTCTTTGATGCCTGAAATTTCAGTCAAAATTTCACGAACGCAATTAAAAAAGTAGTTTACGCTATTTCGTTAGCTTCCGAACTCCTACACGATGATTTTCGTTTTCCAAAACCTTCTTCGAAACTAAAACGCAAAACATGAACTACCATTGAATTTGGTTGCTGGGTAGATTTCTTTTATTTTTGCACAATATTTGCCCTGAGAATACTTGGACCTAAGCAATAAATATTATGCATATGTTGTCTCAAGTGGATCGAGAATTCTGCATATATTTTTATCACCTCGGCACCCGTCCGTTCATGTGGATTATACTCTAAAATTAATCAGATAAAGACTGTGTAAAAACAGAAACTTTGCTCCCTTCTATAAATTCTCTAATGCTTGTTTTGACACCTCGAATACATCTTCGGTCCGGCAAACGTCATTTTGTATTTTGATGTTTACGAAGCGTCCTTTTCTTTAAAGCAGTAAAAGAGCACAGATTCGTTCCGATTGCCCATTTTGATATTCCAATGAAGTCGCGGACGAGTTTATGACTAGTAATACAGGTTTTAGTTTGCGTTTCAATAACGCATGGTCGGGGAGAACGAGCTATCGTCGGCAGACGCGTAAATAGGGTTTTCCATGATCCACAGGAAATGCATACTGAGCAGCAAGAAGAAGAAGAGTGATATGCCGAGAGAGGGAGAGAGCTGAAGTCAAGGGGGCCGTGCCGTTTCATGGAAACTTTTGCTAACTTACTCCGTAAATAACAACACCTATCGAGCTTTGGTTATTTAAGAATCTCGATAAAAATTGCGTGAAATTGTTATTGAAAATGGGAAATTAATACGTCATGCGATCTAGCATTGAATGCTTCCAATACATCTAAAACTCGGTTATACTTTATAGTAAAGCTAGCTATTGCATCATCGCCAGATGAATTTTTTGAGAGAGTAAGATACTGATATGACGATAGATGAAGTTGTTTGTCTTCAGATATATCGTCAGGTTTTAGTTGACCATGGTTTCCACAGGCGAAACAGCTTATGCCTGAGCAGTATTTTGCACGCTTCCTGTGCCGAGTGACGAAGTACTCTCGTTGAGCCCAAGGACGGACACTGCATTGGGCCCACGAGTTTCATGAACATTAAGATTGCTGACGGTCTTTTTGAGCCCTTTTGTCATCAAAGATGAAAATATTTGGTTAGATATAAGAATATAGTTATTTTTCTTAATCATTGTGAGCGTGTGTGCATTATTATGGAAAAATTCAACTGAAAATTAGATAAGTTGTTTCAAAATACGTATATAAGGAAAAAAAAAAATTGAACTTTGGCCTTTTTTCTTAGCAAATACTGCCCTTCACACCTATTTTACAAGCAGTTAACTTTAAATAACAATGGTTACCAATGGTTTTATTATTGAAAAACAATGAAATTATATTTCTGTGTTAATAATATATTAGGTTTTGTTTTGACTGCAACAAAAAAGTATAGCAACCTGTAAGAAACAAACAAATAACTTGAAAAACACAGGCCGAAAGGGGAATACGTAAGCGAAAGCCTATGCTACGTTATCGTGTCGGCGGTATGCAGGTATGTTGTTATCGAGAGTGAGCAACGCAAATGTTGTGTCCAAAAATAGCATTACACTGCAACAAGGTACACTTGGTTACATTGTTAATAGTTTGTCGGTAAACAATATTATGTTCGTATGTATGAGCGTGTATATGGGGTAACCTACCTATCAACTAGATTTTGCTAAATATGTTTGTTGTGCATTTCTGTTGACTCGATGCTGCTATGGCACCTATTTGTTTTTATGTGCATGTAGTTAACATCTATGAACTCTCTCCAAGGTAAATGGATTTCCATTAGAAAACTTTGCTTAATATTTTTTTTTTTTTTTTTTTTTTATTAAATGGTACCACAACAAAGATTGATTGGTACCAAAACAAAACTGAGGCCGATCACTATATGGTACCATTTTGCATACATACACTTACACAATAATAAAATACTAGCGCAGAAGGTACCACAACATTTAAAGTAATTATTAACTATGGAAGCGGTTGCCTGGAGTCGATTTTAATCGAAAAAACCACAAACACAAAAGTTAAGCTTTAATTAATTCAAGAACTTGGAAACGAGCGCTAAACAATCTTGTAGTCAAGGTTTATGGTAATTTTCCGATTGCAATCCTAGAAATTTAGCATTTTATTTATATCTTTTTCCCCCTCCAGATAAAACAAGAAAACTGCCAGCATTCACATGTCGGATCGAATTTTCAATGCCCGCGATTTAAAGTGAACATATGAAAATTATGACGCATCGATATATAAGTTAAAAGTTCGAGTAGGAGAACCAATTGCATATTCAGCTCAAAATTATAAGCAAGATTTTGTTTTCTTTTGAATGCTTCAACGGAACTCTTCTCACTTTGAAAACTTTATTCGTATCAGATAAGTTCTTTCTTCTAAGCAACGTTCAAGTCAAGACGATGCAAAAAGATTTAAATTGTGTAACGACTCGACCCGTAAATGTAACCCATGATTATCTCCTCAATTGCTGCTCGAAGAGGTCCACAAGCGGGCGTTCGCAACTTTAGACTTTTTCCCTTTATAATTATCTTCTCCACATTTTTATTAATATTATTTGAAATGTTTTCCAATCTCGGTTTAGAACTATATCTCTATATATATATGAGTTTAACAAGGCAAAGCTTCCCTCATCACGCCTATTCCTACTTACAAGGTACCTAATGTAATGGAATTCATCGACTAGATTGGCTTTGGTGTAAAAAAGCGCTACTATGTACAACAAACACACAACAAGATTTGCTGATGGGAAAAAAAAAGCAATGTATTATCAACACTCGATATGCGTGTGTTTATAGAGAATTTCTTTTACATTATGTAATCCGCATATGTATATATGCATACATATATATATATATATATATATATAAATATATAAGGGCATAATCTGTAGACATGATATATGATGTTGATGACGACGATGATGATGATGATGATGATGATGATAACAAAGGAGTTTGGCAATGATTGTTGGTTAATATTACAGCATCCCCTCAGTTGCTTGCAGATATGAAGAGCATCAACGCAAAATGACAGAGTTTCTAGCATTCCTTTATGCCTTGGTAACCAAGCCCATAGTTTGCCTCAACTTAAGATATCACATGTGAATGTGTATTTGTATAAATACAACTGTGTAGATATGTACGTAAAAGGCATCCAGACGTTAATGTTGTAAGTAGATCAAAGCTGCAGACAACAAAACCGACTAAATACGTATGTACCAATAGTTGTATGTAATTAAACGAGGCATAGTTGCATCAAACGTCATCGTAAATATTAAAAAAAATATATATATATATATATATATAAATAAAGAAATAAATAAATAAAAAAACAAAAAATATGGTCGCTGCTAGCGCTGCTTAAGTTAGCGACTGGCTTATGCAGCCATCAACGAATTATAGCTAGCAGCAGAGAGCAGCTATGTCGAGCAGAGGTAAAGTGTTAGTACTCATGTTGTTGTTGTTGTTGTTGTTGTTGTTGTTGTTGTTTTTTGTCTTTCGAAGAGAAAACCAAAACATAACACATTGTTGAATGGTGAAGAGAGTAATAAAGCAGCATATTATCTCTTTTATTAGTTTCATGTTTAGAGCAACTGAGCTAACCGAAAAAACCTGAACAATTTTATTTTTTCGTTTATTTATTTATTTATTTATTTTATTTTTATTTATTTATTTATTTTTTTCTTTTCATTTTCTTATGACTTCTTCTATATGATAATACAAAAAAACATGGCGTCACTTTTTTAAAGCAGAAGAGCATAAGCAAAGTACAAATAATTATGTATGTAGATACATATAAACGTATGCGTGCGTGTTTATATACAAATTGATCGTCACCAACTTCCTGAACATATGGTTTAAAAAAAAAATGTTTTTTTTTTTTAATTCAAAATAAAACCCACTTATTGATATTTTTGTAAAACATTTTCTCATAAACAGACGTAATTCACATCTGTGTTAATAAAGTTTAAATATTTTTCATTGTGAGCTGCTTAACACAAAAAAGAAAAATGCTTAGTTTATAAAAATGAAAGTTCACTTACGTCTACGTTCATATATATATATATATATATATAGAAATATCAACTTAATGTAACGTAATGTAAAATTTTACTTTTTCTTTACTTTTCTCCATCCCACTCTTTCATTATATATATATATATATGTAAGAAGAAAGTACACGAACATGTTAGTGCTAAACATTAAAGTTAAAAAAAAAAAAAGAAAAAAAAACTAGTTTTTCGAATTTTTTTGATAAAAGCAAGTACAAATAAAACATTTAAATACTTATAAATAAAATTATGTCTGCATGTGTTCGTATGTGATGTACACACGTGTGGTTAAGGTTAAGTAACAGCGCAGCTATGGTCAAAGTCAACTGAGCTGCGTCGTTAAAATACTGGGCACGCAACTTACAGAAACATTTATGCCTTGTACACAATTAACCACACGCACAGTGTTGTCAAACAAAGAAAAGGCGAAAAGGGTTAAATCGTCTTCGACGATAAAGTCGACCGTAACAACAGCTGATTTATTGTCTGATAAAAGAATACGAAACATCTCTTGGCCGAGGCAAAAAGAGCGCTGGAAGAGAGTGGCCACTAAACGTAAAAGCGATGAAAATGAGAACTAACTGTACATTACATTTTTAAGGAGAGACACAATCCACTATCTGACTGGAATAGAAGGTAAGTAATCAAATAACGATATTTAAGAAATTTATTGCGGATATACATATATCTAAGTAGGCAATGAAAAAATGCAAAAAATGGTAACACCGCATGAATGCGCGTGCTCGTAAGGCAGCTTTAATTTAAGGAGCTCTGCATTTAAAACTAAAAACAAAATGCATCATCATTTAATCTGTATATCTGCAGGTAGAAACGTCTATGGAATTTTAATTTTCGTGCAATTGGAAGCCGTATTTTTGAAAGGGAAAGTTCAACTTTCGACTAACAAACGAGCAACATTTTGCCAACGAAGTTATCGAAAAAGCCTACACGCTATTTCCATGGGAAATGTTATTTTGAATCGTTTGAGACGTTGAAAAATACGAATGAGTAGAAAGAAAATTTTGGAAATTATTTGATGAGCCCGTAATTCCATAAAAACTACCTTTTCATGTTAATGTACTCGAAGATTTTTTTGGTAGATGCTCGCACTCGAATTGTTCACTTATTTTAATTTATTTAATTTCTAAGCAGAGCTACTGAGAGTTTGAGAGCGATGAAGGCCCGTTAAGATTCTTTTGTTTGGAAACGCTCTTTCCAATGAACATCAATACTTTCGGAAAATGTCTGAAATATTATGCTGGATATAAATCATTAGGACGTTTTTAGTTTTTTTTTTTTTTTTTTTTTTTTTTTTTCATTCAGGCATGTCCCTTTCGAGATAGTTGATGAAAAGCGCATAATGTGTGGAGATAAAATCTTCCACGTTATAATTTTGCTTTACGATATTCTGAAATATGCTAGAAGAGATTAAAGCCACTAAAATGGAAAAAAAATTCGAAAAATTTAAGGCCTATGCGTGTAGGCGTGTAGGACTTGACGGTTTGGCACTTTCGGAAAAAATTTTTTCTCTTGAGATGGCATCATCTATGTGCCAGTTCCGTAAATTGACCGATTTGTTATACTTTATATAAATAGCAATTCACACCACTCCTCCGGTGATTTTAAAAATTTTTTTCACTTTCTATTACTAACATGCACTGTCCATATTTTATTTGTCCCAAAAATGTCTGGTTAGCTTTTGCAAAACCAATGAAGACTTTCATACTCAATGCGTAGGGATATTCTCCTTCCCTTCATTCCTTTACTTGGATTCGATTCAAACAATGTTCATCCTTCTCCTGTATAAGAATTTATAAGATTTATTTCAAAAATCACTTGGGAAGGCATGTGCAAGTATATATATTTTTGTGGAAAACAAAACAAAGCTAACGAATAATATTAGTGCGAGCATTAAGTTGCTTTTATATTTTTACCCAGAAATATATAAACTTCACTTTTATACCCTACATTACTTGTGGTAGGACATGGGTATATTAAGATTGTGCATACTTGCGGCGACCAGAAGGTTTTGCGTTAGACCCTAAGTTTATTATATCGATCGGTTCGGAATCAGTTTCTGATTTGGTTTAAGCTCATCTCTTCCTATGTCCGTCTGTCATTCTTGTATTCTTGTGTTTAGTCTACAGGCAGCGATTTTTATGATATTTTGATGAAATTTGATGCAACGACGTGTTTTGGCCCAACGACGAACACCATTGAAAATTGTTCGGACGACCGGATCTCATTTTCGGCTACTTCCCACGTAGCATCTTATTTTGAAAAGTCGTCATACAAATGATTGTGTATTAAGCGAAATGGTGCAGCGTATTTAATGGAGAGCTGCGTCCCACTCACCACAACATTCTTTTTTTTGCTTATATTGTAAATGTGTAAGCATGTGTTGTATTATATCAATGTAATAACATATAAATGGACGTATGCAGAAGAAAAAAGAAGAAAACTTGGGATGTTTTGATTTGTTGTAGTATTTATTAATCTATTTATCATAATTTCTAAAAGAGAAACAGGAAGTGAAAACACGAGGGAAATAGAGATAGAGAGAGGGCATATATGTATGTATGTTATTAACGAGAACAATTCTGTATATAACGATAAAAGAAAAGAAGGCTGGAACAAGGGAATGTCGCTTTTACATTCGGAAAAGGTTACCAGTAGCAGTTTCGATACCTTCAGGATTGAGTTCTAAATGCGTAAATGTTTCAAATTGAAACAAGAAGAAAACTAGGATCGCCTTAGATTGACCATTTTTAAGAATATCAAAGAGTTCTTTGAACTCAATTACAAGAAAATTGTTACATTTTGTAGATGTGGATGGGCATATGTTCGAAGACTTACCCCAAGTATCTGCAATAGTAAAACATGTGCAACATAAAAGAATACCAGAAGCTTTCTTTTAATTATTTGGTGTGAAACGGCTAAATCACTTAATGAGAAAAACCGTCGTTAGTGGTTTCAGAAAATCAAGTTTGCAGCAACTTAATGAAATTTTTTATAATGTTTGCACAACTCTGAAAAGAAAGCTTCTGAGACAGGTATTCTTGCTGAGCATGAAATTCTGGATTGATTAAATCGCGTCCGTCCGTCTGTATGGTGCGTGTTGTTGACACACTCCTGGTTGCGAAAATGAATTTTCCACAATTACTTTACGAAAAACTCTTCTATTGGTGAGCGAAAATGGAAGAAAATCCCTCCTGTCCACATAAACTTACAACAAATGATTAAATTTTCTTTTCTTCTACTTTTTTTGAGATTTTGTGCTTATTAATCATAAAGTAAACAAGACTGAATGTTTAAAATTATTCCCCACATTCCTCAAATGAAGATGTATTGTAAGCTTGAAAAGGGTTTTAATCTGAAATAAATGTGGCGGATACCGCAAACTAATTTTTTGTTAACAATACCATCGATATGGGTGTCAACTAAAAGGACTCGAAGATAAGAAGCTGAAAAGTTAATTGGATTAATCCTAAATTAATTATGGTGAACGATGTCGCGGCGTGGTAAGTTAATTATTCTTAACAATTATGACAATAAATAAATGCAGTGAATGTATGCGAAATTCGGCCCAAGCCGAATGTAGTCTTAATTTTCTTTTATTCTGATCGTAAATTGCGAATTGCTTTTCATGCAAATACCCGAAAATACAGAAAAAGCAATATTTTTAATAACATAGCGCTGATCACAATCCATGGCACGGCTGTAATTTAAGGAATATAAGAGAAATCAGGTAAGACCGAGAACGGGAATTTTAAAGCAATTTAACAACATACTGTAATTTGCGTTTTAATTCGATAGAAGCACAATCTTGATATCCTGTCATAAGACATATGAATATGAGGCATGCAGAACCTGGAAGAGTATTGATTTATATATATGTGCGTGAAAAGTCAAAATGTCCTTCAATATGCTTAGTAATAAGTAATTGCAGTTTTGATAGTTTCAGTGTAATTCCAAACGTTTCGAAAAAAGCGGTTAAAAAGGGAAAATTCGCTATCGGAATTTCCGAAATTCCAATCTGAGGCATAATGACGCATATGTGAAACGATTGCTGAAACTATTGACAAAGAGAGCGCTACAACATACGACAGCAATTTGCGAAAACGAATAAAATCGTAGTCGAAAACAAGAACCACACTTTTTCCCATACCGATTGTCATAGAGGGTAGAGAACACAAGCCCGCATAAACTCGTACAATTTTTATGTAATATATTTGAAGAAAATAAAATTCGAAAGTGATTTGTTTACAATTAACTTTAAAACGTTGAGTGAAAAGATTTTGAAGATGCGATGCGGGTTAAAGGCACCTTTGTGCCTCGTCGGAATGATGACAAACATTTCACGTTACGATGAAGTGCGAAAGGGAAATTATGTCTTATGTCGACTTCAACATACTCCTATTCCTATTCATCTAAATTATGCTCATCTTCGTTGCAGACGGTAAGTGTTCACAAACTTTATGATCTAATTATGAAATGGAACGCTCCTATGCTCTTTTGAGTTGTAAGAGGATCCGCAATAAACTGCTTTTTATCTGACAGTTTTTTTTTTTTTGATTTATTTATTATTATTATTATTGTTATTGTTATTTATTTACGAATACGCGATTAGCTCGAACATGTGTGTGTTATGGAATATGCGTAAATATCGCAACAGTTGGGCTATGAGATCTTTAAGATCTATTAAAATATCTGCAATAAAAAAACGAAGAACTTTGTCAAGCATTAATCGCATATTTTGCTTATATCAATTTTATCGCAACTTCAAGGCTAACGAGTGAGTAGACATTACAAGTAATTGACAGCATGAAGATTGACATTAATGTTTGATTATCTAAAATGAAATTACTTTTGATAGGCCAGCTCGACACACAATGGGTAACTTAAACCGAGGAAGGAAGAGAATATAGACGCAAGGCATTCACTGTTAGCCAACGTACGTTAACGTCGCGCATAATTTCACTGCGAGAAACGTGTAAAATGGGATTAAAGAGAAAGTGTCTCCACGCGATGGATATAAAAAAAGAGATGAAAATCAACTTTAAAATGAATAAATGATAATGGTAATGAATAAAATGGAATAGAAAGAACCCAACAACAATAAGATCAATATGAGTAAATGCCATATAAAAGCGCATATACATACACAATCATATATAAATATTCATATACGTTGATACATAAACATATGTATATAGAAAATTCCACCACCATTGTAAAAGCTTTCGCACTTGGTAGCTACCAAATGAACTCCCAGTTCGATAGGGATTTCATCTGTATCTTTTTTTTTTGTTTCATTCTCTTTACCACTCACATGCTATATCCGGAAAGGATGCGAAAAATTTCATTGACAGTGGAAATAAACGAGAATATAACGTAACGGGGCATGCAGGAGGTACAAGGAAGCATATGTATATCCCTGTATATATATATATATATATATATATATATATATATATAAAGTATTAGACACACTGCCTAAGTTTAAATGTCTACATAGTATATATGTACATGTATGTAACTTCTTTCTATGTATGGCCATATCTGTCTTCACGGCACACAAAGCAACGTAAATATAAAGCCACGAGTCATACACAATGAAAAGTCGCTTTCGTAGCAGCAACAATATATTTGTTTGTAAATGGCAGAAAAACTCATCTCGTGTATGAAAATGGAAATGAATGATTTCGAAAGTATGGTATAAGGCATACATACATACATACATACATACATACGTTAACGTTGTCAGCACGAATATTTTGGCTGGAATTAACTAGAGTTCAGTAATCATCTTCCTATGAACGTACGACAGAGGACACGAAGGTGTTTTTTTTTTTTTTTTTTTGTTTTTTTTATATATATTTTATATGCGAGAAATAAAGGCCAGGTGCTCAGTAAATTCGGAAAGCATCTAATCGATGACTCTTCTAAAGGCCATAGTTGTACAATAAGAACCCTTTCCTCCTTTCTTTCATATTTATTGACAATATTTATATACATATTTATACGTTTATATGAAAGCGAATGGAGAATATTAATCATTGTAAATAGTGTCTCCTCCCTCTAAGCCGAAGCAAGCATAACGTTCTGTATATATAAATAGCATATAAAATTAACTGTCCATTTTACTCTTGTGCCTCGCTCTTTTTATATACGTATACACAGCATCCATTGTAGGCAAGTTTATGTACGTATATGAATTGTATATAAATGCATGGGTATACATCTGTAGGCATATACATGTTATGTCACGTAATGTTATGCCTAAAGAACGTAATAAATTGTATATGAAAGAGAAAAGAGTTTGCGGGGGCAGAATAAATTACAATCGACGTATACATGTTACGTTACCACATTTATGTAGAACACGTCGTCTATACGCTTCATAACGCAGACACATGTGTCATGGAAATGCTGTAATATCCATCCTACTGCAGAGCGTTGCTGAATCTAAATCTGCGCCCCATGTCTTCTGCTTTCTCGTGTATTTATTCTTGTAATCTATTATATAAGCACTGCTAAATGATGGAAGCAAGCGAAACACAGAATATTATCACACAAATTACATTCGGTCCATATATTGTTACGTTACTTTAAGTGCAAGTATGGACAATAATGTTCATTATACGTTACAAAATGATCGTAGGACAGTTAAAATACGTTTGAAATTTATTCATTAATATGTGTAAACTTTTAGAAGATGAAGAAGCTTTCGACGAAAATTTCTTCCCTTACTCAAGTGCTCTTGCTCTTTAAAAACCTTTTTTTTCATTTCGAAAAGGGTCAGAGAGAAACCCAATCGCTTTGCAAGATCTCTATTTGGATTTCCTATATAACTATTGTCTTAGTCACAACACCGAAGAATGCAGATTCCGACCTTAACCCTTTTAAGCGTCTTAGACCATCAAAAACATTACTTTGCAATCTGACAAACCTATCGTCTTTGGTAATGATAGGCGTGATTTTTTTTTTTAAATAATTTGTATTTGCTTTATGAACATATGTAAATCTAAATATTCAAAATTCTACATACAAATATAGTTGTAATCGACCTGACTGAAGAAAACCCACAAAATGTAGGAGAAAATATTTTTATTCATGAACGCAATCTTGTTCTGGGTTGATGCAGTTTTCCTAATGATGCCCGGTAGCTTCATTCATGGTGGTTTATAGTGAGAATTGTCGGGGGAATGCAATTCAAACGGGTTATATCTGGCTGATGGGTTGCGTGAAGAAGTCTTCGCATTTTGATTTTGAAATTGGCGACAACGGATGTACGAACTGATGCAATTTGCTGATGAAACAACATTTATCTTTTCCATTTTTAATTTTTTATTTTATCTTTTTTCTTATTTTTAAAATATTTTACGCGCATCCCCAGACTACTGATGCCGTGACCCTGGCGAGCAAATGGACCTGTTGTCAACTGCTCTGGTGTCGACACTCCCCTTTCAGTTCATTGTCTTAATTGTTGCTTGAGAAATAACGAACGTATGCTTCATCCTCGATTATGAATCGACGCAACAACTCACCAAATACTAAAACGGCCCCGCGAAGCTACTTTAGTTCGCTTGCGAATAAACGTGGCACTTTTCTTGCGTGCAGCGTTCCCGTGCCCAATACGCGGTACATATATTTGTTTTTAAAACGTCTACAAAGTACACCAACTCGTTCGCTTTCAGCCAATGTTCATCCAATAGAACTTCGTGTGTACATAGTTAGTCGGGTCGCATCGGATTTAGCTTACAACTCGAAAAAGTGAATCGTAGAAATCTTTTATATAACATATAATTCTACAGATCGATCAAGGTAAACAATCGTTCATCCTAAATAGCGACCAATCGAACACATTAGCATTGTTTGGAATGCAAGTATCCTCGCTAACTTCATTGCTGCATTAATATTCAATTCAAAAATCAATGAAGTTTTTCATTACTTAACCGAATGCTGTTAGACTCGAAAATCTGAATTATAATGCAGTTTATGTTCGTATGTGCGCCGCCGTTCCTTTGCCAATCAAATTAAAACGCAATGATCTTGTTGAATAAATAAATTTGCTTTCAAAAAAAAAGGTCAATTTGCCGACAACTCCGGAAACCCTACATGTCCTGCAATACATACAAAGGCTCAAAGTGCCACCCTGATTACAATCTTGAGAACGTGCTAGCGATAGTAATAGTGGTAGTAATAGTGGTGATAGTAGTAGTAGTAGTAGTAGTAGTAGTAGTAGTAGTAGTAGTAGTGGTTGTAAAGATCGTACTTGTAACATCCACAGTGTAAAGATGTCCTGATGATCACTTTGCTCACCTGCAGATGACGTCGTTACCACCTTATTAATTACGATAATAATGCGAGGCGAACGCAACAATCACGAACATAACAGATAGATAAATAAACATTCGATAACATCAATGCACTCTTACCTATGCGAGAATGTTACCTAAATTACATATGCAATATGTTTATATATGCATGTATATATGATAGGGAAACTGGGTTGCGCTACTTATCTTTTCATAAATTGTTTTTCACCAGTTCTCATCGTTTCTTGTTTTTCTATAATAATAATAATAACGAAAATTTTGAATGAATACACGATAGAGGGAAGTAATAAAAAAATGGATAAAGCGAACTGCTGTTAAAGCAGAGGAAAAGAAAGTACGCGATTCACATTGGGGAGTTTTGTTTAACTCATCCGAGTTGTCCGACTGGCTTGGAAAATATATAAAAATAAAACAAAACAAAGCCAAGTTTTACAAGCAAAACTAGCCATAACATGATTTTCTTGTTAAACTAACGACAACAATATGGAAAACAATTGAGTAACAGTAACAATTTGATTGTTTCGCTGCTAAGATAAGGTTCTCTCTTCACGTTATATAAAATCTTCTATGTTATCTTCATTTGTCATTAGCATCGTATAAGAATGGGAATATATATATAGATATATATATATGTGCATATGTAGGTGTGGGTATGAGTTGGTGCGTATGTGCGTGTGTGTGTGTGTATAAATGAAGTGTTTTAAAATTAACGATTATCGGAGTTTTTAATGTTGGCTGGTTTATGCTTTTACATATAACTAAACACACAGATTACAATATATGTATGAAAAAAAAAAAAAAGAAGAAAACACCCAAGTCGATCATAGAAGCCAAGCAATATTATAAAATTACATTATTTCTATAGGGATGTTAATGCTGCTGCTGCTGCTGCTGCTATGGCTTCACTCATTTTCACCACTTGTACACATTTACGTCTGGAATTAACTACCTACCCTGCTGTCTAATTTTTTTTTTTTTTTTTTTTTTTTTACTTTTTTATTTTTTATGTCATTCATACATAGTCTTCTTCTTTTATATATAATTTAAAAAGTCTATGTTTTCGTTAATGACTAAGGGCGCTTCATTGGTTTAGTCGAGTGGGTGGGTGTTACTCTTTATGGAACAAGAAATATTGAAAATTTTGAAAATGTTTTGCTTTCTACATTATTTTGACTTGCATGCTCGAGACCATGCTATCATCTGGCTGAATGCGTTCATTTACATATAAATGTCTATACAACCCTTATAGTCAGCTTGCTGCGGGTAAACGCGTTAAAAACACTCTCACTTAGCTATTGCCTTGATGAACGAATGGATTTGAATGATTAGAAGAAAAATCATTGAAAAAATGCCTAAACACATACGCACATATACGCGCGCGCGCGCATATATACTAGCTTTTAAAACAATTTTAATTAAGTGTAAGATTAAAAGCAAAATTCTCTTAAGCCTTTTTTTTTTTTTTTAATTTCTACAAAAACAGTGTAAATAAAGAAATAATAATTCCCAAAAAACGATAGCATATCTTTGTGTTTCACATTTCATGTTGCTTACGCATAAAATTCGGGCATTGAGAAGTGCACACCGCGATATAAAGGAACCGTCGTATCCTCCTTTCTCGGCCTATTTGTAAATTTAGCTCCTCCCAGTAATAGCATTTTCATTACGATGATAAGCTTTCATTTAGCCGGCTTGACTGCC